CCATGATTTTTTTTTTTTAACTTGATGATTAGTTATTAGCACTTTGAAACTTCTGTATAATGCATTCCTTAAATGATAATGCAAAAACATGTTCTCAGGCTCTGTTCTGATGTTCCCCTGGAGTTTTTTTTTTTATCCTGCTCAAGCCAGCATGTAGATTAAAGCACCACAGTGAACATATTTGATTAGATTTTATGCCAGTGGGGTTGTTCGGAGAAGCACAGTGTGTCAAGTGCTTGAGGCTCCTCCTGTGTTAGAGCCCTGAGGGAAGGACAGTGGTTATAAGATTATGTTCAGGTCGGTTCAAGGAGGGACTGAGGCACCGAAACTACTGCATGGTTGAAGCACTTAAATGCATTTAAGCTGAATTCTTGCTTTTAGGTCAACTCTCTAACTTGATCAGCCAGCTAGTTGCTTAGGTCGGGCTCCAGGCATTCACTGCGATGCTAAGGGAGCTGTAGAGTAATGGAGGCCTAGAGGGCCAGGCTGCCAGACGCACGGTGGTTAGGAGGTGGGTGGTACCATCTAGCTATGGTTAAGCTTTTGGCCTTAATGAGTCAGCTATAGGCAGGGGACTGCAAGCCAAGCCTTTGCCTTTCAGCTACACTTCCTCTTAGCTGGAGAGATGATGTCACCATTGTGTGAGTGCTATATTACTTCTCCTTTTATGGAGATGAACAGACTTGAAACTGGAGTCACTCATGCAGAGGAAGTGGGTGATAAAGGCCTCCTAGGATGTTCTGTAACTGAGATGTGGCGATTAAATTGCATATTCTCTTCTAGCCATTCAACTTTTTTCTTCTTCCATCCCAAAACACCTAAAAACAAAATTCAAGAGTTTGGAGCTCTATTAATTTGCCAATTAGGCCAATATATGTGACCACAGAAGTGCAATATTTATTCAGATTGGTTGTTTTGCAGTAGAATATTTGGCTGAGGATATTTTATGTACAAGATGTCTCTCTTGTGAAAAGAAATTCAGGTTTAATTAAGTTTTTTATGTATGTCCCAGGTCCTGGAAGCAGTCTAAAACGCAGTCTTTTATTTTTGGACTGAAGAAAGTTAAGAATGAGTTAGATATTATGTTTTCTAGACAGTAAAAGTAATCTACTGATCTTATACTATACTTCTGCATAGCTTAAATTTGAAGGATGATTTACTTCCTGAATTTCTGGATGCTTGAGGCTGCTGCTTCTTATGATCACTTGAATACTGTGGTGATAAGAGCTAAAGAAGAGCCTAGACTAAAAGCTTTCATTTGCCATCTGGTCTGAAATACAGAACTGTTGCTATCATTAACTAATGAGTTGTTATTCTGGATTGTTTTTAGTAAGTGATGCTGTTTAGGATTGAAAAGCAGCTGCAAATTTCTTTTAATCAGGCGTTCCATGGTTGTGTTATTATAAGCAACTGAGTTTACAGTACCCAGCATGTTCTCTTTTGCTGAGTAGGTTGCTTGCACAACTGACAATGGAGTAGAGGCAAGTGCTGACTGAAGTTGTGAAGTACGTCCATGTTGAATGATTCTTTTATTAAAAAAAAAAATATCGGTGGAGGTGGCCTATTGTCTGGACAACTGAATTCTGATTCTTGATGGCACAGGTCAGTATTGTAAGGAGAATGAATATTGACATTTAAAGCAATTCTTAATTAGAAGTGTGTCTGAGAGTTAGGCTTTTGTATGTGTTAGCTCTTTGGCCTTTTGGTCGGCTCCAGTTTCCTGTTGCTCAACACATTGAGTTGTCTGTCTGTACACAATTAGAAGAATTCCAACTATCCCAATGGCTGCTGCTGTGAAGTCCTGGGAAAGAATTTCCCCCGGATTGCAAACAGGAATGTTGCCTTTTATGGCCCTGTCTGTGAGCTGCCCGTGACTTGCCTGCACTTGCAGGTATGTTCCTGCCTGGCTTAAAGCAGAGGTGACTAATGCAGCTGCAGCAGGCCACCAGGAAAGTATTTTGGGGGAGGAAAATGTAGTACCCGGGAGGATTTTGAACACTGCCTGTGACTTTTCCTGCATGAGCACCTTTCAATACCTTGCTCTGTCTTAGGTGTGGAAAAATCCCTTTGGGACCTCCTTGGGTGCTGTTGCTACCTTGCCTTGTTGGAATGAGGCTCAAATATTGCTTCTCAACTAAGTGTGACAAACCTGTCACAATCAAGAAGTGTTCAGTGCCAAAGAGCTTCTTAGTATTATCTGATGTTGATTGTCTCTTTTTCTATGGAGCAGCTGGTTTATCTGTCTCTTACCAATGTTTTTTTGCTGGGATAAGGAATCTTCTGGGGAGGGAATGGGAAGGCATTGCTATTCAGGTGCTTGGGGCTCCATGTTTAAGCTCCAGTTGGGGCTCCAGTTTGCGGAGCCCCAGTGCATAAGTCCAAGACCAGAACTGGCTACCAGGAATAAGGACGCACCTTCCTTAGGGTTATCTTTTTTATTTTCTTATTTCTCTCAAATTGGCCTCTTATGAGCCTATGTGGTACCTGAATGTGAGCATAACCTTTTCTAGGACAAGTGGGCTGCTGCTTTATAGTATGCTTTCCAAAGTCAGATGTTATTTGGAGGTACATAGCTGCTTTGTGATAGAGAATTGCACCCAATTGCATCCATCTACAGAGGAATAGGTTTCCTTAGGCAATCTGTAAATGAGTCATTAGTGATTCCCCTGATCCGCCCTCAAAATGCCCAGTCATGAAGAGGGCTGGCTGTGCCTGCTGAGCCCTTGACCCACTGGGAACCTTGAATGGGTGAGACCTTCAGAGCTGTCTAATATCTGCTCTTAGCCTGTCCCTCAGCAAAAGGGGTGCATATCTTAAAGGCAAGGAATAAAACTCAGAATTTGAAAAAAAATGAATATGCAATGCTAGTAAATCTGCAGTATGTTTTTGAATGCTTAAGAATTTGCTGGGCCAAAAGCATTTGAGTGATATCCTTTAGTTCGCTTTTTTCCAGCTTGCTTTCTTCCAGTCCTAGGGCTGATCAGCTCTTTCTGGCAACAGTATTAACAGGGATAAAGCAGATTATTTTCCTCTATTTTTTTGTGCTTATCTGCATACAATTAGGCAACTCCTGCTCTTAAACTTTTTTACGGGAAACTATCTGTGCACCTGAACCTAATGTTTCCGTTATTGGTTTCAGAATAATTTAAGAAAAGGTAGAATCTCAAATTTAGTAGGTCTGCCTGCTTCACTTATTCCATGAAAACATGTCCAAAGGCTATTCTCTCTTTATAAACTGAGTTTATAGTTTTTCTTGGTGAATATGGCATTCATGATGTTAGGACTGCAATGCTAAATTCACTTGCAGCAACAGTGTTTATGGGTATAGATAGTGGTTTCAGGTACTTGAAATCTATCTGACTATAAAGCCTTCCCTAATTACAGATCAGTCCCTTTTATTGTGCACAAAACAACTTGAATGATGACTCAATTATATTGTCTTAAGTATTGTCTTAATACTCTCTGGTGGGGAGAATACTGAGTGCACTTGGGTACTACTGGAGAAAAGAACAGAAAGAACTAGTAGCTAAAATATGGAGAGAGTCACATTCATAAATGTAGTGATGAAGGTTACTAATTGCTGAAATAAATTATTAGAGCAATCCAGTGAATTGTATATTCTCATGGATGTTTGTGGCTTGCTTTATCTCACTTTAGAGATCAGACTTTAGTGCAACACAAAGTTGGGGCTCAGCATGGAAGAAGGAAAGAATGACTAACTGTATGAAATCTAACTGCTGTGTTACTGGAGTTCTTGGACTGGATGATCTGATAGTCCTCTGGCCTTGATCTTAATTTAAAAAAAAACCAAAACAATCCAAACAGCTAAAATAAACCCTAGAAAACACAGCCAAGTAGGTAACATAAAAACTAATGGAGATTTTGAGTTTGGTGACACAATCTGTTCTGTAAGTGCCACAATAGCTCTTGAGGACTGTCTGTGAATGACCTTCTGTGCCCAAGTCTGTTCTGTGCCTGAACAGGTCTCACTGCCCCAGTGATTGCTACAAGCTACAAAGGCTGTTGTGGTGTAGGCACAGGCACTCTCCAGTCTGCCCAGTGCTCCCAGCTGGTTCCTGGTGGCATGGGGGAGGAATGGGGTGCAGGCTGGGGGGCAGGCACAGCGTGGAGAAGTGGATGAAAGGTGAAACCAGGGCAGAATCAGGGGAATGTGTTCATACAGAAGTGGAGGAGGAATAGTGAGATGAAGGCATGGTGGAAGGACTAGTCAGTGCTATGTATGAGGAAATGGAATCATAGGTGAAAGTTGAAAGGAGGTTAAAGGTGTGGGAGAAGATAGTGGTGGATAGGCTGGGTGAAGAAAGTTCTGTACCTGGAAAGATACTGTCATCCACAGCTGTGAATTGAACCCAGGAATTGGTTTGTCTGCTTGGTGTGTCAACATGAAAAAGGTTTGTACTGTTACCAGCTGCTGTATTAATACAATAAGGGATGGTGCTACAACAAATTAGCTGTGTAGAATTTAAGCTGCTGCTCAGTGTTGTAGTTTTCAAGTCTATTCTGTACAAAACAAGTAACAAAAATTTCTCACTGAGCTTCCAGTGTTTGTTTTGGGGATGAAAGTCTCTGTTTGATGTATTTGACCCTCCTCCCCCTTCCATTTCCATTGCTCTGCTGGTAAATTTTGTAAGTCAGTATGATCCCAGTATAATAGGGGGGAGAGGGCTGAAGAACAAGTAGATGTACATCAAACTGTAGCTCTGGTAGATATGTTCAGTGGGAGACTTCTGTATTGTTTGTAGAAAAAATTGTAAACAATATTTTTTCTGGATGAAGAAAACTAAATTGCTATGGTGCCATTATACTTTGGTATATGGTGGGAGGTTGGAGTCTGTTGCTGGAGAAGGGTTTCCTGGCCATATTTCTGAAGATGCTTGTCGGAGTTTACTAGTTCCTGGTTTTGTCTTTGGTGTTGATTTCATTATGTCACAGAAATTTAGAGTCTTAGTCTGACTACTTTTTTTTAAATTTTATTCTAGATCGAGAGGATCAGTCCATCCTTTGCACGTGAGTATTTACAGCTGTCAGCTTATCTGGTTGTCAAAGTCTGTGTGTTTAAATTCTTGATTGGAGGACTGTCTTAATTTTAAGTGCTGGGAGTAGGCTCAGTCAATCAGGTAATAATGAAGAGTCAAGGAAGGTCACACTACAATTCCTCCAATATATATTTAATCATAGAATCACAGAATGGTTTGGGTTGGAAGGGACCTTAAAGATATCTAGTTCCAACCTCCTGCTATGGGCAGGGACACCTTCCACTAGACCAAGTTGCTCAAAGCCCTGTCCAGCCTGGCCTTGAATGCTTTTAAGAATGCATCTACAACCTCTGTGGGCAACTTGTTCCAGTGTCTCACCACCCTCACGTAAAGAATTTCTTCATAATATCTAATCTAAATCTACCTCTTTCAGTTTAAAATCATTACCCCATATCCTATCACTACACTCCCTGAGCAAGTGTCCCTCCCCATCTTTCCTGTAGCCACCTTTAAGTACTGAAAGGCCACTATAAGGTCTCCCTGGAGCCTTCTCTTCTCCAGGCTGAACAACCCCAACTCTCTCAGCCTGTTCTCATAAGGGAGGTGCCTCAGCCCCCTCATCATCTTTGTGGCCTCCTCTGGACCCACTCAAGCAGGTCCATGTCCTTATGTTGGGGGCCCCAGAGCTGAACACAGTACTCCACTTGGGGTCTCATGAGAGCGTAGAGGGGCAGACTCACCTCCCTTGGCCTGCGGGCCACAGTTCTTTTGATGCAGCCCAGGATACGGTTGGCTTTCTGGGCTGTGAGCACATGTTGATGGCTCATTCAGTTTCCATGCGCTGCTACCCCAAAGTCCTTCTCCACAGGGCTGCTCTCAATCCACTCTTTGTCCGGCCTGTATTTGTGCTTGGGATTGCCTCAACCCATGTGCAGAACCTTGCACTTGATTTTATTGAACTTCATGAGGTTTGCACAGACCCACCTCTCAAGCATGTCCAGGTCCATCTGGGTGGCACATCCTTTCCCTACAGCGTGTCAACCACACCACACAGCTTTGTGTTGTTGACAGACTTGCTGAGAGTGCACTCAATCCCACTGTCCATGTTGCCAACAAAGAGGTTAAACAGTGCCAGTCCCGATATCGATCCCTGAGGAGTGCAGTGTGTCACCGCTTCCCACTTGGATATCAAGCTGACCGCAACTCTTTGAGTGTGACCATCTAGCCAATTCCTTACCTGCTGAGTGGTCCATCTGTCAAACCCATGTGTCTCCAACTTAGAGACAAGGATGTTATGTGGGACATGCTTTGTACAAGTCCAGGTTGATGACATCAGTTGCTATTCCCTTATCCACCAACACTGTAACACCATTGTAGAAGGCCAACAAATTTGTCAGGCATGATTTGTCCTTAGGAAACCATGTTGGTTGTCACTAATCACCTCCTTAATTTCCATGCACCCTTACATAGTTTCCAGGAGGATCTGCTCCATGATCTTGCCAGGTGCAGAAGTGAGACTGACTGGCCTGTAGTTCCATGGGTCTTTCTTTTTCCCTTTTTAAAAATGTTTCCCCTTTTCCAGTCAGTGGGACTGACTACAATGACTTCTCAGATATGATGGATAGTGGTTTAGCCACTTAATCCTTTGGTTCCCTTGGGACCAGCAGATGCGTCTCATCAGGACCCATGGACTTGTGCACCTTCAAGTTCCTTGGATGGTCTCAAATCTGAGCTTCTCCTACAGTGGGTGGTTCCTCATTCTCCCAGTTCCTGCCTTTCCTTTCTGTGTTTTGGGCAGTGTGGCTGGACCACATGCCAGTGAAGACTCGGGCAAAAATTTGTTGATTACCTCAGTCTTCTCCATGCCTCAGGTAACCAGGTCCCCCATTTCCTTCTCGAGCAGGCCCACTTTTTCCCTAGTCTTTCATCACAGACATACCTGTAGAAGATTTTCTTTGTTGCTCTTGATGTCCCTGACAAGATTTAATTCTGTCAGAACTTTAGCCTTCCTAACCTGATCCCTGGCTGCTTGGACAATTTCTCAGTTTCTCACAGGCTACCCTTGCTTCCACTCTCTGTAGGCTTCCTTTTTGTGTTTGAGCTTGTGTAGGAGCTCCTTGTTCATCCATGCAGGCCTCCTGTCATTCTTATGTGACGTTCTCTTTGTTGGGATGCATTGCTCATGAGCTTGGAGGAGGTGATCCTTGAATATTAACCAACTTCCTTGGGCCCCTCTTCCCTCCAGGGCTTTACCCCACGCTACTCTATCAAGAAGATCCCTGAAGAGGCCAAAGTCTGCTCTCATGAAGTCCAGGGTAGCAAGCTTGCTGTGTTTCCTTTTTGCTGCCCTAAGGATCTTGAACACTGTTTCATGGTCACTGCAGCCAAGGCTGCCCTTGAGCTCTACATTCCCCACCAGGCCATCCTTGTTGGTGAGAACAAGGTCTAGCATGACACCTCTTCTTATTGGTTCCTCTGTTACTTGGAGAAGGAAGTTATCAGTGCATTCCAGGAACCTCCTGAATTGCTCATGCCCTGCTGTGTTGTCCCTCCAACAGATAGCAGGATGGTTGAAATCCCACATGAGGACTAGGGCTTGTGACTATGAGGCTGCTCCTGTCTGTCTGTAGAGGGCCTCATCTGCTTGCTCTTTCTAGTTGGGTGGCATGTAGCATACTCTCACTATAATGTCTTCTGTCCTGCCCTTCCCTTTAGTCCTGGCCCATAAGCTCTGGTTGGCTTGTCATCCATCCCCAGGCGGAGCTTGGCACACGGACATAGAGGGCAACACCCCCTCCTCACCTTCCCTGTTGTTCCCAAAGAGCCTGTATCCTTCCATTCCAACACTCCAGTCATAGGAGCCATTCCACCACATCTCTGTGATGCCAGTAAGATCATAGCCCTGCAGGTGTATACACATCTCTAGCTCCTCTTTTTTATCCCTCGTGTTATGTGTGTTTGCATAGAGACATTTAAGTTGGGCCCCTGATGAAGCTAAATAATCCTTTCTACAGAATACTTTTCATAAGTGGAGAGGAAGAAGGGAGGTTTTGAAACAGTCCCTGTTCTCAAACTCAAAGAAATACAGCTTTGTCAATGCAAAAGGCTTGGAGGAGTCTTCAGATTTGATGCAGCTGTTACGTTTAAGTGCATTCATACTGATGAGGCTGATACAGTAACAGTACTCATGATACAGGAGCTTCTCTTCCAGACACAGCAAAATTTGGTTGGCCCTCAGTTCTGCTTAAGGAATTGGTATGTTTCTTCTTGTAGTTGGGAAGCTTCCTCTTGAAAGATTCACTTCGTTACCTTTCACCCCTACCTCTACAGCAGCTTCTGAATTATTCCTCAGCCACTTGGCAATCTTTGTACCCAAGTGACTAGAAAGCATAGTTCTTTATTGCCTTCCCTTCTCCGTGCACGCATGTGGAACCTGCACCCAGCAACAAACTGGCTGAGGGCTAGCCTGCAGTCCAACCACACTGCTACTGCTTGCCAGTGCAGCTTGTTTTTTCTTGGTTTTGAGGGAGGTGCTGCAGTGGCCAGAATGCAGTTAAAGGAACATAGCCCTTTTGGGGTTAGAAATATGCATGTCTCGTTTGGGAATGAATTGCAGATTTTCTTTACAGAGGTGAATCGGGAGCTGGTAAAACGGAGAACACCAAGAAGGTCATTCAGTATCTGGCTCATGTTGCTTCCTCACACAAGTCTAAAAAAGACCAGGTAAGACCGAGATTTAATGATGCTTTATGATTTTGCTGAATTTGGATAATAAATATATATTGGCTGATGTTGGTAAAAGCCATACTGCTCAATAAAAGCCTGGATCCTAACGTATGTTAGGAGACTGAGGACAACAGTAAACTATGAAGCAATAAAATTTTTGTCAAAAATTGCAAGCCAGGCAACATTGTTCTAAGTCATAATTCCTTTGAATTCAGTGGAGCTACTGTGGGGTAAACTCATCCACAACCTCTTGGATTTGTGGGCAAGTACATAGGCAAGAGACACTATAAATGAAGCATTACTCTTACTGAACTTGTTACGCAGATGCATTGTGTATAGCCAGTCTAGGCAGTTTAAAACTGGTCCTGTGGAGGAATTTTCTCCTTTCTCTTGTACCTTTAGAGATTAGGTCTGGCTATTATATATGCTGTCTCAAAACTGGAGAATACAGTGACAGGCTAGTGGACATCAGCTGAAAACTTTGAAATTGTAGGCAAACATTACAAGGGTGGAAAACAGCCAAGTGTTAACAGCACATGAAAGGAGGGTGGTGGTGATGGTGGGAGGACTTTAAAGATGTCTGACTTATATTTTTTTCCCCCTCCCTCTCCCCCGATGGACTATTGCCGAATTCGTCAGTTGTATCCTCGTAGGTGAGCTGCACGTTTACTGCACGTTCTGCACCAGGAATGCATTTTCTGTCCCATTGTGTGATTTTTTTGAGCAGCTTTTCACTCCACACCAATATCGCTTTCTGCAGCTAAACAAATCCATAGACAATTCACAATTTTATTTTTTTTTTGTGTGTGGTACACAGTAATCCTTTTGTGAGGATGTTCAATGGGAGACTAAAGTAATATCAACAATACTTGTGTTCTGTAGTCAATACTGGTTTGTATTTGAGGTTTTTCTTGCAAGATCTTCCCAGATATACCATTTGAGAAGTATTCCTCCAGGGCAATAGGAATTCCCTAGAACCAAAAGTGTCTTGTGTGTTGTGTTCCTAGTAAGATAAATATAGTTAGGTGTTTAGCTTTCTATTCTCTGCAGTGAGATGTGGCTGCAGGTTGCAAAGAAAAGTTGGGGGAAAGGCTGCCCTGCAGACAGGGTGTTCCAGGACTGTGAGCTTGTTAGCCAGAGCTGAACACGCTGGAAATGGTGAGCTGTGAAATGAAAGCCAGATGCCAAGTGTTGGCTGTATGTGTACATAAGAGTTTTCCCATAGTAGCTTAATGTGTAGGTATGTCTTATGTTAGTAGAGGATATGAATAAGAAGGCATCTTTGCATGCAGGCATGCTATGTGTGTGTGCACACATAGTAGTAAGTCACTTCTGGAATCTAGTCAAAAAAAGAGTATTCTATGTGCCAGAGTTTGACATATGAAGGCTTTTTCCATGGTCTGTCAGTAGCTGTATTTAGAAACAGTCTTCCTTTTTTTCCCTTTCCCCCCTTCCTTTCCCCCCTTCCTTTCCCCCCTTCCTTTCCCCCCTTCCTTTCCCCCCTTCCTTTCCCCCCTTCCTTTCCCCCCTTCCTTTCCCCCCTTCCTTTCCCCCCTTCCTTTCCCCCCTTCCTTTCCCCCCTTCCTTTCCCCCCTTCCTTTCCCCCCTTCCTTTCCCCCCTTCCTTTCCCCCCTTCCTTTCCCCCCTTCCTTTCCCCCCTTCCTTTCCCCCCTTCCTTTCCCCCCTTCCTTTCCCCCCTTCCTTTCCCCCCTTCCTTTCCCCCCTTCCTTTCCCCCCTTCCTTTCCCCCCTTCCTTTCCCCCCTTCCTTTCCCCCCTTCCTTTCCCCCCTTCCTTTCCCCCCTTCCTTTCCCCCCTTCCTTTCCCCCCTTCCTTTCCCCCCTTCCTTTCCCCCCTTCCTTTCCCCCCTTCCTTTCCCCCCTTCCTTTCCCCCCTTCCTTTCCCCCCTTCCTTTCCCCCCTTCCTTTCCCCCCTTCCTTTCCCCCCTTCCTTTCCCCCCTTCCTTTCCCCCCTTCCTTTCCCCCCTTCCTTTCCCCCCTTCCTTTCCCCCCTTCCTTTCCCCCCTTCCTTTCCCCCCTTCCTTTCCCCCCTTCCTTTCCCCCCTTCCTTTCCCCCCTTCCTTTCCCCCCTTCCTTTCCCCCCTTCCTTTCCCCCCTTCCTTTCCCCCCTTCCTTTCCCCCCTTCCTTTCCCCCCTTCCTTTCCCCCCTTCCTTTCCCCCCTTCCTTTCCCCCCTTCCTTTCCCCCCTTCCTTTCCCCCCTTCCTTTCCCCCCTTCCTTTCCCCCCTTCCTTTCCCCCCTTCCTTTCCCCCCTTCCTTTCCCCCCTTCCTTTCCCCCCTTCCTTTCCCCCCTTCCTTTCCCCCCTTCCTTTCCCCCCTTCCTTTCCCCCCTTCCTTTCCCCCCTTCCTTTCCCCCCTTCCTTTCCCCCCTTCCTTTCCCCCCTTCCTTTCCCCCCTTCCTTTCCCCCCTTCCTTTCCCCCCTTCCTTTCCCCCCTTCCTTTCCCCCCTTCCTTTCCCCCCTTCCT